GGGACTGATGAAGATCAAATCTCCGTCGTCTCTCGACCAGTCAGACGGTGAGCGCTCACCGGTGCAGCTGGCGGTCCCGGTTCTGGTCCAGCCGGAGAGATCAACAGTCCTGACTGAGTACAGTCAGTAAAAAGACGAACAGTTTTCTAGAATAGATTGTTTTGATGTTTATTTTTCTTAAATAATCCAAGAAGCAGCGAGTTTTTAACAAAAACCAGGAGGGAGGACGGGGCGGGTTTCGTGTAACTGCCATAATATCCCCACACAGAGAAATCTGAACACAATCCTAACTTCCTGCAGAGCTGGTCGATAAACTACCGTGGACTTCAAAAAGCCCAGAATCTGAACCTCTCTGTCTCCTCTTCCCTAAAGGTGAAGGAACTTTAGACCACGTGACCGTTTTAGTAGCACCTGTTTTAAAAAAAACGCATTCATCCACTGTCCTCTCCGTCATTTATGTTTTTAATTTTTGTACTCCTCCCACTAGCAGTGTTTCCACATGATTATGGATTGGATGCCTCCTGTAGAAGTGAGGCACCAGTTTATTTTTACACATTACTCACAGTTAAACCGTGTAGTCCTTGTCTCTTGCTCTTGTCTGTTTATTTGTTAGCCCCAGTGGAGAATCTCTCTCTCTCTCTCTCTCTTTTTATACCGAGACAACGAGCCCTTCAGATTAAATCACATTTTAAAGAAAAAGTTAATCATGACCCGACTCGGCCTCGTGAACGTGACGGGCCGACGCGTCGAAAGTGACTGAAACGGAGGAGGGGAAAAAAAACAGTGAAGTGTTGGTGACCTTGTTTTTAATGTACACTACTTTTGTGGTTTTTTTAAAAAGAGGTGTTGATGAGGAAACAACTCAAATTGTTAATGTGTCCAGGATTTGAAAAGGAGAACAGAAATAACCAGAGTGTACTGTACAATTCGTATTATATTTTATTATATATTGATTATTTGCTGTTTTTTACTCCAAGTATCATTTCTTCTATCATTGTTGGTATTGTACGGGTGGGAGGGAACGAGTTGGGGGCTCTTTGTAAACAGCGGGATGAGTATATGTATCAATGTGATATTTTTTTTCCTCCCTCCCCGAAACCCTCGGACCTTCTCCCTCATTGCCGCAGTTATGCCCAATTTTTTTGTAAGAAAAGCGTGTACACATAGTTCATTACTTAGGTCCTGTCCAGACGTGTTTTTCTTTTTTTCTGTAAAACTAAAACATGTAATATTATTACTAAATTACTATCCTTTTCTTTGCCTAAAAAGTGAGTTGTTGAAAACCCTCAAAATGAATAAAAAAAAAAATCTGAAATGTTCACGTCCGCTGTCATGCTGAGAGTGATTCAGTTCTCGTTTATTGCAAATACTCCTCGTGTACCTTTTATTATGTACTCGCCTGTTTCTTTTGTACGCAAGAGAAAAATACTTGACACGGGTGTTGAATTGGAAGTGACGCTGTGCGGAGGTTTAACGAAATGAAGCTGGTTGACAAAATGTTTGAAAGTGTTTCCCTGCAAATAAAAAAGCAAAACTTTAAATATAAAAGAAATAATAATGAGAAATATCAAGATCGACTGATAAGAGCCTTTTTACGGTAAATTCATGAATCTAATCCACTTTGTTTGTTCCCATTAAAACCTTCAACGTCCTGCTGGGAATATCCACAACTGTGCATTACCACTCGACGGACACTAGAGAGCGCCATTTTCATACAACATACAGGTAATGACGAGGAAAATCATTTTAATTTGAATCAGATTGTGAAACTTGAATCACACACTAGTGGAGTCAAGCTGTTGTTCCCATGATGGCTGCCAACACACACACACACACACACACTCTGCTGGCGTGTGTTGGACACAAACTATTCCGGCCTCTTACTAGCAACACGTTCCTGTCGAGTATATTTGACGGCGCTCTGTCACCAGAGAAGCTTCAGGCCTCCAGCTCCTTCTAGGAAAGTGCAGCTGCTGCCACTGATTTATGACTCAGTCAAACTGTAACGTGACGCTGTTGTTCAGGTTTGATTTGTTCCCTCACGATGTCATTATCATTATTTTATTGATATTCTTATTTATTTATTTTAAAAAAATATGCGTTCATCCCAATTGGGTGTTTTCCAACCCTCCTTACAATTTAGTTTGAAATTTAAAAAAAATAAAGTCATACATTTTTGTAAGGATAGTACAAGCTCGACAATATTTGTATTTAATATTCTCTGTTCCTCTTACAATGTGTATTTTTACTTTAACTTGGATCACGACTCGATCTCGTAGAAAATAAAACATGACCTCATATTTTGTATGTTTTAAATATTCTTTACTTCATGTTTTATTTATCGTAATTACAATTCTGTGGTAGTTACTTTATCCTTCAATTCTAATCCCACAATTTTGACAACATCATTTTGATTTGATTTAGTTAAATCAACGACGGGAGGTGATAGAAAATAAAACACTAGGCAATATTTAGTGTATTTTAAAATATTTCATTTTATTGTTTTTTACCTTTATTATCTTTTAGTTATTATTTTATCCATACTTATAATTGTTGTAATTCTTTGTTTTAACAATCATTTTGGTTTTATTTGTTAAGTGATATAAAGGATGATGTTAAGTAAACGGTATAATATCACATATTTTGTACTTTATTCTTTAAATTAAAAAACATGTTTAATCATGAAAGTACAAATATTTGTACATTGAATGAATCAGTTTTTTATATTTTTATGTAGAATTGTTTTGAAAATGCTTTTATTTTTATTGGACCTTTAATTGATTTTTATTGTTTTCTCCTCCTTCTCTCCTCCCCCGCACCCCCTCCCCCTCCCCCTCCTCCTCCTCCCCCCCTCCTCCCCCACTCCACCCCCTCCTGCGGGACGCTCACGCGGCACTGGCATGGGGAAACCTGTGGGCGGAGACTGTGACCTATTTTGAGCCAATGAGAGGCCGAGAGCGGCGGCGACTGACCTAGTTTGGGCCAATCACAGCGCGGCACAGTCGCCGGTGGGCAACAGTCGGCGCGTGCAGGAGCCATGTGCAGTGTTCGATGCCGGAGACGGAGCCGCGTTCACCTCCGGTTCCACGGTATCGAACACGCTCACTGTGGTTCACACACACACACACACACACACACACACACACACACACACACACGTCACAGATCAGTCAGAGAAACAAGATGGAGGTGAAGTGTTCACAGCAGCTGCTTCATCACGTGATGGAGGAAGAGGAGACGCTGCTGTGACTCAGTGATTTCATGATTTCATGATTTCATGATTTCTGCTGTTGATCTGTTTCTGTGGAAGTGACAGCGTGAGACACGGGAACATGGGCGGGGAGCGGAGCCTGAACGCAACACCTACAGCCCTCCCCTGCTATTGGCTGAAACCGCGAGGGGGCGTGGCGTGTCGAAGCAAACATCTGTTGCGTTCAGGTACAACGGGAGGAAACAGTTTGTGTTGATTTAACGCTTCAACGCAAAAATCATTCACTAATAAGTTAAACTATTGTGTAGACAATACAAATGTTATATTATTATCTTAGCGTATTCTGCCAACACTCACTATTAGAGGTAGCAAACATGTAGTTGTGAGCAGCTCAGGACATTTTACAGGTTTGTTAGATTCCATGATTCCATGAAATATCTTTACAGCTGTAATTTACTCTGTTGCTTTTCAGTATCCTGTCCTTTAACACTTACATGTTGTAGTTGTATAAACAGTTACACAAGGTAGATGGTGTGTTATAAACCATTCGTACATGTAAGTATAAGGTTTTATTAATGATAGAAAGCTGCACTTTGAGCAAAGTGTTCCCAGTGAGCTTTTCTGCCAAATGCTTATTTAACTAATGTGAATGTTTTTTAGCTTTTTGTTTTTACTAGAATCCACTTTGCTTCAGACGCCGGGAAGTTTCTCGTTTGTTTATTTACCTACATAATTTAAAGCTTCATGGAGCTGTATAGCTACTTCTAACCATAAATGTACCGTTAGCGGTTAGCATGGCATTCAGTAGCTAAAGACAGTTTCTCCTGCTCCAGAATCCCCCCCCCCCCCCCCCCAAAAAAAAAAATAAAACCAGTGTTTGTGTGTTGTCCACATGTGGAGGTTCACATTTACCCACTTTACCGCGCGCCCTGAAGGCGTCACAGTGTCTGGGAGAGTAAATGGGCGGTGGTAGTGGGCGTGGCCCAAGCATGCAAACGAACCACGCCCCCTAACTCTTGTCCCCCGTGAGCGGTGACGTCACACGAGCGGCCCGTGTTGGTTCCAGCTGACTGAGAGAGAGAGAGGGGAGAGAGAGAGAGAGAGAGAGAGAGGAAGAGAAGAAGCGGCAGCTCCATCTCTCTGACTCTCTCTTTATTGGACAGTATTATTTTTCGGGGCTCATCTCTTTATTTCCTCCATCTTGTGTTTCTCCTTCTTTTTGTTCTCATCTTTCTTCATCTTTTGCAGATTCCTCCTCCTCTTCCTCCTCCGCCGCGTCTCGACTCTCTCCGCTGCTCTCACTCACTCATCGCATGGGACGACAGACTGTTTTCATCCCCCGTTCTTTTTCTTTTCCCTCCTCCGGACTTTAAATTGATCGAACCACCGGAGCACCGGAGAGGAGCGCGCGTGCACCGTGATCCGCCGTCTGATCTCCGGGGTGGGGTGGGAGGGGGGGGGCTTCGCTCCTGCGGCCCCGGGACTCTCTCGTCCTCCTGCGCGCGTTCATCTGTCGTTCTGAGGAGGTGAAGTCCTGCAGAGGATGAATTAGAGTCGACATGGTGCCATTTTGGAGATAAACCTTCCTCCTCCTCTTCCTCACTCCTCTCTTCTTCATGGGACGGGCGGAGCAGCGGGACGTCAGGTGGAGATCTTGAAGCGCACACACGCGTCACCTGCCCGCGCACCTTCTGACGGCGCGCCTGTCAATTAGCGTCCTCTAATTGGATTATTCTGCTCTTGAACTCAAAGAGTCTGCAGGCCCCACCATCCCCCCACCCCCCTCACCTCCCCCTCCTCCCCCACTGGAAGTTATGTCAAAGCCCCTCACTCAGCTCCTGCTGCCAGATCTCCCTGCCGGGGCCACCAGCCCCCAGTGTGGGGCCAGCAACCCGGCTGGAAGTGGCCCCCAAGGTGGACAGCTGACCCCCATGACCAACCTGAAGTCCCTGCTCCAGCTGCCAATCAAGAGCGACCAGAGAGGCGCCAAGGACTGCTGCGAAATGCGAGGTGAGCGTGCGCACGTGTGAGTGTGTTCGTCTGCATGTGTGTGGTGATGATGCAAAAAGCGTCTTAAAGGGGCACGAGCAGGTTAGTGCAGGAGGAGCTGCAGTGGTGGAGCTAGGAGTTCTACGCGCTCAGGGCCTCAAAGGGGGCCCGCAATTTACAGATGGGAGGGGTGGGGGGGGGATTTACATGTCCACCATCCATGTTCGATTCCACATTCAGCTGCACGTTCTGTGTTGACCGTTTGCTCTGGAGCTCGGAGCCACACATCAGGGCCCCGGGCACACGAGGGCGAAGCAAATATCGGCAGGTCAAAGTTCACCAAAGTTCAACTCCACGTGAAGACGCGCTGTGATTTGACAGGAAGTGAAAGATTTCTCCGCCGTCACACTCGCTCGGATTAGTGAATTGAAGGTTCGCCACTGAAACGTCTACGTGCGAATGATCGGGACATTAGTGAATACACACTGATCACTTGTGATTCAAAGACGCTTCGGGGAATAAGCACATCTATCGTTAGCATAGCTAACAAGTGACGTTGTGCTTTTCTTTACTAACGGCTACTACGATCATCACGTGATGCGTCTCCGCACGTTAGGTTGTGATGATTCATGAAGAAATTTACAACAAATAAATAAACGTCGTGCACCTTAAGTTCACGCGACGTGGTCGTCATAGTGACGCCGTGTGAAATAAAGCTGTCACCAGCTCCTCAGATGTGACGAGTCGCAGCCTTTGATTCATTCAACGTAAGTTTAATCTTTATGATTCGTCATCTTCAAAGAGCATCAGAGAGTGTGTGTGTGTGTGTGTGTGTGTGTGTGTGTGTGTGTGTGTGTGCATGTGACTGAGTGGGTGGGTGTGATTGTAAAAAAACAAAGAAAATGCTCCCAGCGTTTTGGCGTCCCCTGGTGACCGCTGGGTGCATGTACGGTTTGTCTCTCTGGATTATCGTTTCTCCTGTGCATGAGGAGGAGGTGACGGTGAGCCCGGCTGACAGGCTCTCCGTGGAGCCGGCGTGCTGAGGCCTCGGCTCCTAATGATAGGTGATGAAGATGGGGAGAGAAGAAGATGGTGGCGGTGGCTCTCGTTGCCGTTTCCTCTTCGCTCCTTCCCTGGCTATAGCTTTGTTCGACGCCCGCACAAACACCCACTCTCAAATCCATCACATCTCTCTCGCTCTTTCACACATCACAGTTTTTCCTCTCTCCCTCTCCTGTCTCATCAGATCTCTCCGTCCTCCACACGGCTCCTCTGCTCATTTCCATTTTCTCAAGTTTGTCCTCCCTCTCTTGCACTGCGCTCCTTCTCTTGTTTTTCCAAACCCATTTTATTTGCATTCTCCCTCTTTCCTCCCTGATCTCGGTCAGATTTGAATAGATCCTCTCTCTCTATCTCTCTCCTTCTCTTCTGTATTTCTCTTCCTCTCCTCTCGTCGCTCCTGTTGTCAGTTTATCAGGCTTTAAAGACTCGTCCACTTCAGTTCAAAGTGTCACCATCATTTTCATCAAGCTGTGTCACTTCCACTTATCCGTCCTGTCCACCCCCCCCCCTCTTCTTCTTTCATCGTCTCCTTTGCTTCGAAACAAAGGGATTTCCTTTGTTTCGTTAAAACTACAAAACCACTGTTGAAATACAACGTTACAAGTAAAGGTACGAATATTTAACGTGAAATTATAATTAAAGAATGAAAAGTATTAGTTTAGCAGAATGGCAGATACTTGATTACAACTATTGATGCATGAATGTAATATTCTGTAATATTTCTCATCAGTCTTGTTGGAACTTATGATGTATGAAGTAGTAGAAAATTGGAAATACTCAAGTACTCAAGTACAAGTACCTCAAAACAGTACTTGAGTAAACCTGGTGTTGTTGTTTTGGCCACAGACTAAAAGTGAAGAATTATCTTCACTGGTGCGTTCAGGTCATAAACTCCGCCTCCTCCATGTGAGTGTTTGCGACAAGAATCAAACCAAAAACTCTAAATATGATTAAATTCAAATTTCCTGCCGGTTTAGTTCAGCTCTCTAAAACAAAGAAAACAAAATGGCAGCTTCCTTATCAGGTATATTTTGGCTCCGGTTACGTATAAAGGGACGAAGGCGAAGTCTTCAATCTTTATTTAGTTTTTTATTTTGACAGTCAGACGCCTGAAACATTGAATTCACTCCCAGTGTCCTTGTTAAGCTGCTACAAAACACTGAACATCGTCTCATCAGTCTCAAGTTTAAACTTTTGGTCACTTAATCATCTTCTTGATTAGACTGAATAAATACTCACAGTCTGTGTATAACAGAGATTAAGGGGAAGATGTGGACGATGATGAAATTGACTCTCTCTGCTCCTTCTCCTCCCTCGTCCTCATGTCCTCTGTCCTCCTGCTTTAATCTCCTGTGTCTTTATGTTTTTTAATCCCTTTAAATATACATTTCCGGCCTCTCCATTGCCCCCCCCCCCCTCAGTCTCTCTCTCTCGCTCTGTCATCCCATCCCAGTTAAATATGCTCTTTTATTACTATTTCATTGGGTTTTATTATTCAGTGTGCCATTTATTCAATATGCACAGTCGCTCAGAACGTCACCAGAGGATGAGAGAACAAAACAATCACTCCGGCTCTTTCTTCACCAGTTAAATTAGGCTCCTGTCGTATCTGCTGGATATCCTCTTATTTTTTCTGGTGGTGGTTTGTATCTATCTTTCCATCGGGCTCGCTCCCTCACCAGAGGTCAGAGTGCAGGGACGGGCGAGTCGACTTTATCTACAGTTGCTTTTTTAATGATCGCAGCTAAGTGCTGTGCAGAAAGCAAAGGACACGGGCGCTAGACAGAAGCACAACCCTCGGTCGATGTTGAACTGACCGCAGTGCAGCCTGTGGCGTGTTTGTTGACGGTTGTTTGTCTTTTTAACTGATTATCTGACGGAGCGTTCACACGATGGTGAAGAAGTCTGCAGACGTCTCGTTACAGTTGGGCCGGAACACAGCATAGATCCGGAGATGGAATAAAGTGAGCGCTTGCTTTTTGAGTTTTCTCTTTAATAGTTAACGATCTATAAAAAGACGTCTCCGCTCCCTCCGAGGTTACGGAAGCCGCCCTCCTGTGGTTTTGATGTTGGAGTCTGGCAGCGGTGATCGTGGTGTGGAGCTGTTATGTTGAGGTTCCACTGACAAATGCGCTCGACCAGTTCTCAGCTCTGCGTCAGTCGATCATGACGTCCATCATTCAATAACTAATTAAAACCAAATTAGCCGAACAACTGCAACCGGCTCTTCCACTCCAGTCCAGCAGGTGGCACTAATTCAGAAAACTAATGATAAAGGTAAATAAATCGAGCAACACTACAACAATAGTAAACGTATCGTTGTGATGGTATTTCAATTATAGACAAAACCGTGGAGTGTTGCGATCACCCCCCCTGGTGGCTAACTGCAGTATAGGTCATAAACCCGCCTCATCCGTGTTAGCAGATAAGAAATAGACCAACTCAAAAAAATAAATAAATCAACACACATCAAATACATTTACTTTTCTCGAGGCTCCATCCCCCGATCGCTACTGTGCAACTCCGACTCCAAATTCACAAAATGGCGTCGCCGGTGACCTTTTGGTTTTGGCTTCAGTTCTTCAGTGTGTGATTTGAATTTAAAACGCGGAGCGGTGCTTACTTCAGTGAATCAGTCGCAGAGCTTCTTATTCTTCAAGGTGAAATCTTCTTTTTGAAATGTTGTTTTCCAAAGTGGCCACATTGTGTGTGCGGGAATTAGAGTGTGTATTAGTTCGAGTGCTTGACGCAGGTTTTCATTCCACCGACAACAAATCACGGCTGCATTAGTCTGAGCACAGTTTAATTACACTGAACTAATGAGTCCATTGTGGGCGAGATTAAGAATCTTTCTCCGTGCACTCACAGCCACATTTGAAATCTTGATCGTGTCACAGCACGGAATGTGAAATATTTCACTCTAACACTTAAAGTGATTCTGCTTCCACGTTTCAAACGGTGTAGCTTCACTCTATCGAACCTCGTCAGACGGGAAGTCAGCTGTTATTGGTTCTCATCTTTACTTTACATTGTAAACAAGAGGGAGGAGGAGCCAGAGTCATGACCCAGTGAAATCCGTGTTGAGGACGTGATGTGACAAACTTTATTTCTCCTCCTCGCCAGACAAAGACAAGCCAGTGGATTCTGAGGAGAACTCGATGGGCGGTAACGGCGGAGGGCCCGGCGGGCAGGGAGGAGTCCCGGCCTCCGGTGCCCTGCGACCCAACTCCCAGTCGGCGTTCCTGGGCCCGCTGCTGTGGGAGAGGACCCTGCCCTGCGACGGAGGCCTGTTCCAGCTGCAGTACATGGACCTGGAGGAGTTCCTGACGGAGAACGGGATGGGGATGCACAGCAACGGGCCCAGCTCCACCAGCGCCCAGATCCCCTCCCAGGTAAAACGGACGGACACCAAAACCCACAGCTTCACCAACCTCAACCAAGATTCAGTCTGTTTGACAAAGGCTCATTTATTTTACACTCGACCACAGAGTGACGTTAAACAAGGAACGAAGTTAAAAGCAGAAGACGTTTCTCCTTCTGTCACAGTCAATTCTTGATAAATACCAGAAATGTGACACATATTTAAATGTATTTAATCTCGAGGTTCTAACTTTTTTCTCGGGTCCTCTCCTCCCAGAGTTCCCAGTCAGCGGTGCCCAACCAGAGCTCCCAGTGCCCGCCCACCTCTCCTCCACCCTGCTCTTCCTCCTCCTCCTCCATGTCCTCCTCATCCTCCTCTTCCTCGCTGGTGGGACTGGAGAACGTCAAACCACAGCCGCCACCGCCGCCACCACCTCAGCCGCAGCAAAGCATGATGGGAGGACCGGAATGTCTACATGGTGAGTGACTCAGACATTTGACATTTTGATTGAATTTGTAAAAGGTCAACACGTGGTTCATCGGATATTTACCTTTAAGACTCATTCATGCTGCTCGTACGTGAGAAAAAAGACACGTCCACAGCAGACGGTGCCTCCATCTCCTCCGTTAGCATGTGAAGCAATACAACCACTAGAGGGCAGCACAGAGTTGCACGTTTCTGATAACAACAAACATGGCGATGGTGGAGGAGGTTGTGGAAAGCTGCCAAAATGGCGCGTTGTAACGGCGGTGACACTTATCCACTCGCAGAGTTTCTCTGCGATAACAGCCGTTGTTCTATAGTCATTGTTGTATTGGCAACACTGCCCCCCATGGTCTGTGGGGGTACTGCTCTGTTTTGTCTCTGGTTTGTATCCGTAAGCTCTCGGAGAACGTTGAGTGCGGACAGAAGGTTCGGTCTGTTTCCATATAACGTCAGAAATGAGGTGGAGGAGTTTGAGAGAAGGAATAATTTGATATCTATAAAATCTTTACCGTTAAAAATAAAAAGACTTTTGAACAGTGACGTTAAACTCGACATCTTCTCATGAGAAGTAGAACGTTCGATGCGGTCGGACGTACATGCAGCTGCCTCAGTGCGATCTGGTGATGAAGACGCAGCCGCCTGACACATTAAACCCGGTTCAACGACTCCTTCACCACTAACCAGTGTCGGACTGTCTCCAATTATATCCCTGTGTGATGAATGGCTGTCACCCTCCTCCTCTCCACCCATCAGCCTATTTTCATCTGTCATGGATTCATAATTCATTGTTTCCTCCTCCTCCTCCTCCTGCTGCTGCTTTTAACGTGAACCAGAACCACCACAAGTTCTCTTCTCTCCGTCTTCTTTCTCTTCTTTCTCTCTATCTTTCTGTCTGACGACTTCCAGCTCGGACTAATTGAAACCACAGAGCCGTTCCTCATAATGCCGACGGTCTTGTTTTACATGTGAGCTGTCGGGGGTGAATCACCGCAGCTGATTTCACGATGATTCATTGACAACAGATCACCGCATGTAATTGTAAATGTTTAGTGGTTGTGAAGACATTTAAAGACAATGAGTGTGTAAAGTGTGACTGGAGACAGAGAAAGACAAAAACCTTTCTGTGTGATCCGTGTGTGAAATATTATAAAATATTCTGTATGATATATAAGTTTTCCTCTTTTAGAAACTGTGGTTATTATTTTACCATATTTTACATGTTGTGATCGTGTGTTTATATAAAACACTTGAGGACGGGGAGTTATTTTTTATGTAGTCCGTATTATTCGTACAAGTTTTTCTTTAAATTTTTTTGTAGCAGGCGTAAGGGGAAATTTGACGACTGGAAAACCAAACTAACGAGCTGAAGATGCTAAAAATGCTTTGAAGAGCTGAGTGAAACTGCAGAAGTGGAGGATTCACTTTTGTGAATGCATCTTTTTTAGATTACACAGTTTTATGATCCGTCGTTGGTATAAAAATCTAGATTATACAGCTTTAAAACACCAGTAACCAGCTGTAGACATGACCAGAACTCCCCCTGGCACATTTTACCGCACCTCACTTTTGTTAAGCTGCAAAAAAATCAGAAAAATGTATCTTTATGAAAATTCTCCGTGAGTTAAAACGTCCCTGTTTTGGATGACAACACAGCTTTTTCATTTTGAATCAGCTTCTTCCAACTGCATAAATCTTGACACATGTTGCTCCAGAATTCAACCGTCGATATATTTAGAATCCGGCTCTTGGAGAATGTCACAACACGTTCTGCAGGTTTGAATATATTTGGCTGCTGCACAGAATAAATTTGTCGAGGTAAAGACTCCTGAGGGCGCCGCTGAATTCCGAAGGTTTGTCGCTGTTCGACATGTTTGTTTACAAAGTTCGGCCACTTCGTCGTACTTCGTGCTTCCGTCTGCGTCGTAAAGCCTTCACGTGCTCTTCACGGGATTTAAACACTAAGATTTGTGCAGTTTGAAGAGTTTGCACTGAGCTGGAGGTAAAAAAAAAAAAAAAAAAGAGTGTAAGAAGGAGACAGATTATGAGAAATCTGACGTTATGTTGGTCTTTTTTTTCTGAGTCACAAGAGAGGAGATATTTCACAGAGAAGGAAGAGCTGCAGAGTAGCTGCATAAAAAAATCACACACACACACACACACACACACAGACACAGACACACACACACAGACACGCTATTGCAAAATGAGACAGAGAAAGAGATGAAAGAAAGCAGCTGAGCTTCAGCTCCTCCTGCTGAGGAGAGAATACCACTGGATACTGCTGCAAGGCTCATAGTGTGTGTGTGTGTGTGTGTGTCTGTGTTCGTGTGTGTGTGTTCATATCTCCCCTGCACGCTTCTGTTAGTGTGAACATGCACAAGTGTGTGTTCGTGTGCCTTTACGCATGCACTTCTTGTGTGTGCACTGAACTTTGAACGTTCATATCAGAGTGTCCTCTTTGTTTCGGCATTTGCATGCAACTGTGTAGGCTTTAATGTGAACATACTTTCATCTGTGTGTGTGTGTGTGTGTGTGTGCGCGCATGTGCATGCACTCTCTTTACTCTGAATTATAAACACGTGACTGGGTTGAGCGTGATGCATCCAGCCAGAAATCCCTCAGGTCGTTGTGGAGCTGAAGTGTTACTCGAGCTGCAGAGGGAGAGAGAGAGGGAGAGAGAGGGAGAGAGGGAGAGGGAGAGATGGAAAATAGACTGGAAGTAATAATGTGATCCACATGCACATGTTAGATTTGAAGCTCCGAGGGAGGGAAACACACAAGAAGCCGGAGCTGTGGCTTTAGGTCGACTGTCACAGCGTGGTGATTGGTCAGGACACAGACTGACGTCTTAAATGGGTGAAAACCACCAACGTGAAACAATGACCATCTGTCCGCTCGCGGCCCGAGACCTGGAAGATGGTTTCCGAACCTCGCGCAGGAGGAATAAACCTGGCGAGCTCACGGGGTTCGAGCCTGAAAAACGTCCTCTGAGAATCAGCTGAGCCCGGGAGCGAGACCGAGCTCCGCTTTGAAGTCCCCCCCCCCCCCCCCCCCCCC